ATGTAGTTTATATGCTCGTTTAACATGGCACCATCAAAGTACGGGAAGGTACACCATTTATGTTACTGTTGTTTAAAGAAAATTAAACTGTGCACCAAAAAATATATAATAAAGTTTTAAAGGAAGAAATTTTTACTAAATTAAGCATATCATATTCTTTGATTATGTTGTTATGTAAGGTTATTAGGAAGGGAGGCTTTCTGTCTCTTTCCACACAGTGCCACTGTGATTGCCATTTCTAGTCGTGTGGGTGTACCTAACAAAATAAATAAAATATATTTTTGATAAAAACAAAATATCAAATAAATAAAATATATTTTTGATAAAACAAAATATCAAATTATTCTTTCAAGATTCAAAAATGTTTTAGCCATTTATTTTTATAAAAGGCATATTTTTTATTAGATGTGCTCCTACAAGGAAAAAATAAAAAAACCAAAATATGACATTAAATATATATATAAAGTAAAAAATAAAAATCAAATTCGATACGCACTCCGAGTCTCTTATCATGATTGGATATCAAAGACTAACTCGCAGCATTATGATTAAAGCTATTCTAGCCATTCATTTAGATTGGACAACTAAGAATTTATGCGTTTTATATGTAGGTGGAGACGCATAAAAGTGTTCTCTTTAGAAATAATATTGCAATAATGTCATTGTAGTTTGCTAAAAAATGAAAATTCTAGTTGTGCACCCAACCGATCATCAGTATGAACTCAACAAGTTTATCTAGAGATTGCTTGAGCTTCTCATCTTTCAATTATGTCAGTTACACACAATTAATACATTTACCTACCTAAGACTCTCCCCTTTAAAGTATAGACATTATATGCACGACTGGTTCGTGTGAAAATGTTTTCTAGAAAATATTTTCATGTAAAATTTTTTTTTTTGTAGTTAGGTATGAAGATATTTTTATACCAATTGGTGTTAATGACTTTTTTCACACCAATTGGCAATTAATTGATGTAAAAATATTCTCACACTATTTTTCCATGTGAAAAAGTTTTCATAAAACATACGAGAATGCACAGGAATAAAAGAAAAAAAGAATAAATGAAATTATATGCCAACGCTCATCAATACAAGTTCACGGATCGAGAGCTTTTGCTTGAGACGGGACAAGTTTAGGGTCCGAAAACACTATTTTTCTGGTTTTCTAGGACGACCTATACCCACTAAAATGAACTTAAGAGGTCGTGACATCAAGCCTCATTGGAAAACATATTTCAGTGCTCGCAATCACGTATCTAGAAGGACAAAAAAGAAGAAGATTTATTTCTATATGGGCTGATATTGAAATCATTGTAATGCTATAAATATTATGTTAATAATATAGTCACACATAATAATATTAATACCAATATTATTAAATTTGGATATCTCATAATACGAAACCCAAGGTCAACCATGATACACCAAATCCTTCCATGCACTCATTAATATTATCTTTTCCAGTTATAATAATTGAGTTTTAGACACATGCTCGGCTCTCATAATATTAATTTCATGTGTATGAGATATATTAATCGTATATATATTATTGGACTATCTCATAATGTGGTCATAATATTATGTTAATATTATTATGATTATTAACAATATTATGATAATATTAATATTATTGGGTAATACATTTGCACAATATATTAGGTGAATATATTGTGAAACAATAATAATATTGTAATAATAATAATATTTAATAATTTTAAGCTTGATGGTTAATATTCACCGCACATTTGTTTGGACTGGCCATTTGAACTCTTTACAAATCTATGAGATCTGTGCTATTTTTGGACCGTTAAATTCTATAATCAAGATCAAATATAGATTAGCAGGAAGTTAAAAGCAATTCTAGTGCTAAGAGTACATTTTTATGCAAAATTGTGGATTTACTAAAGTTTGTAGTGCTGCAACGCCAGGAAAACCATACCCTCTAAAAGGAAGATTCTTTTTTGGGGTGCAACTATGTCTTTGAAGAGTCTCAGGTTTATTTAAAGAGACCTAGTGTCTATTAATCGTATGAATATAGAGACTTGTCTTTTATAGATAAATTACAGATTAAAAAATATAGAAATAAATCACAATTTCCTATACTATACCAAGACTTACCATATATACAAGATATTATATCTACGCTTCATATCTATATATATTACAATATATTCCTTCCATATTAATTGAGTATACAATATATACCTTCCTTTCACACTCCCCCTCAAACTCAATACGCTATGAAAGAGAGCAGCTAGAGTTTGAACATTAATTGTGGAAACGAGCAGTTAGATCTTCAGGTGTATAGCATGACTAATATATGTAGTAGTTGCCATACTCAGATTGCTCGACCAACAAGCATAGAAAGCAGCAATGGATCAACAAACGTCAAGAACAGATGGCCTCAGAAACTGAGGGCCATATCAGAGTAAGCTCGATCAATTAAACAAAATTCCAGAGAGAAAAATAGATCAAATAGTCGAAAATGACTCAATAGAGAGATAGATTCGAGAGTCGAAATACGACTCAACAGAAGTTGCACCGATACGGCAAATATAAACCTTTCTCTAATACCATGTGAAGAGTATCAGGTTTCTCTGAAGAGACTCATTATCCATTAATCATATGAATATACAGACTTGTCTTTTATAGACAAGTTACAGATGACACTAATAGAAAATAAATCATAAACACCTATACTCTACCCAGACTTACCATAAAATACAAGATATTATACCTACCCTTCACATATATACTGATTACAATATACACCTTCCCAAATATACAAATTACCTTATATACCTTCTATACACTTTCTATATTAACTTGATAGGTAATATACACTTTCCTTTCACACACCCCCCCAAACTCATGATGCTATGAGAGAGAGCAGCAGGAGTTTGAACACTAGTTGCAGAAACAAGCATGATCTTCAAGTGTATAGTATGACTAATAGAAATAGTGGTTGTCATGCTCAGATTGCTCTCAGATCAAATAGATTAGAGAGTCG